TCAGGAGAGCACTACAACACCCACCTACCCGAGACACACACCTACACCACACTGCTTCAACAACCTCGAAAGACCTTCTCCATAACGACACACAGACGACACTCTTTTAAATCCCATTGGTACGACCCTCTGAAACTGATCGGTGTAATTTGGATGAGGGTGGATTACATCAACACAAGGATACATATTAGCCTGGGTCGATACATACATACATACATACATACATACATACATACATACATACATACACATACATACATACATACATACATCCATGATAACAAGGGGAGAGGAACGCCATGTGGTGTAGGTGGAGAGTATCAGGTGTTTGTACGGTGGATGAAGACCAGTCGCTCGCCAGTTTAGTTTAGTCAGCCACATGAGTACATTATAGGTAAAAGATGTTGAAGATTAAAGTACAGGTGTAGTAATTCACTTGATGTGGGCAGAAACACGGGATAAGATTTGTACCTTAAACTTAGATAAGGTTATAGATGTAATTACAAAAATGTTTAAACTAACCTTAAGCTTACGCACATTCACCTCAAGGCCAAAGTGTGCAGCTACTTTATAGTCACCTAACGAATAGTAAACGTAACGCTGGCGGGCAATTGGAAAGGTATAATGAGTCTTAAGACAAACCTGAAAAAGTATCAAATCGACCCCCCCCCCCTCGCATGGGAGACGATTACTCCACACCGTAACTTGGAGGAGCACCACACGAGAAGGTGTCAATGCTTTCGAGTTAGCCCGACTGCATACCGAGGCAGACAAGCCTCAATGCCGGAAAGAAGCTGCCGCCTCCCATCCCGCACTAGATGTAGTCCCCCACACGTGCAACATCTGTGGACGACTCTGCCGGTCCCGTATTGGCCTCTTTAGTCACCTCAGAGCTCACCAACGAAGGTGACATCCTTAATAACTCATATCATTGTATTATAGCTGGATGATCGTCATACTCGATTCCTAGTAACAGCAAAGTAGCAAAGTATTAGTTATAGTAGTAATGTGTGTGTGTGTGTGTGTGTGTGTGTGTGTGTGTGTGTGTGTGTGTGTGTGTGTGTGTGTGTGTGTGTGTGTGTGTGTGTGTGTGATTGGTGTGTGTAAGGGAGATTGGTGTGTGTGTATGAGTGATTTGTGTTTGTGTGAATGATATTTCCTTGCTTTGTTCATCTTATCATTTTAAGTAATTATTTGATTTTCCTCTCTCTCTTCCTCTCTTTCTATCTTCTTTTCACTTTTCTCTCGCTTGATCTTTCTGGTTTACTCTTGATTTTCTCTGCCTTTTTTATCGCTTTCTTTCTTTCTCTTGTTCTCAACCTCCTGACACACACACACACACACACACACACACACTCGTCGCGTCGTAAATACTAGAGGAGAATATAAAAAATGGTATGAGATATTGCAAGCTGAAAATATAAAGAGAGAGAGAGAGAGAGAGAGAGAGAGAGAGAGAGAGAGAGAGAGAGAGAGAGAGAGAGAGAGAGAGAGAGAGAGCGCTTACTGACAATAAATGCCCTGTAAATAAAATACACTGAAACAAACAAACAAAAACCGGACATAGATGAAACAGCAATAATAATCAATAAGGTAAAATAAATAATAAAACTAAATTTGATAATAAAGACCAAAACACGAATAAAAACGGGAAAAGGTGAGAATAGGAAGAAGGAATAAACAATAAAAGCATAATAAGAAAGATTTTAAAAAAGAATTGACCTAGATAATTTTCAGAGGAAGTAAAATACGACACTAAAACAGAAATAAACTATAAAAAAAGAATAAACAGAGTAATAAGAAGAAAACAGTGATAGTGAGGTAATAAGTCATAGACGGTAATAAAAGAGGAATAAACAAACACATGTGATAAATATAGAAATAACAGCAACCTAGAGAATTTAGGAGTAAGTGGCAGACAAGAATAAACGAGGAATTAGATACGTAAAGAGAATAAATACAGGAATAATAACAGAAGATGGGTTTAACGAAGGAGGGATAAGCGGGAGATGTGATAACGTTGGGAGTAAAAAGATCGTGTGTGTAATTACGAAGATAATGAATAATAATGAAGGGGAAGTGCTGAGAGGGAGTAGAGAAGAATGGGTGATAAGCGAGGGAAGAAGAAGAAGAAGAAGAAGAAGAAGAAGAAGAAGAAGAAGAAGAAGAAGAAGAAGAAGAAGAAGAAGAAGAAGAAGAAGAAGAAGAAGAAGAAGAAATAGTAGGAAAAGAGGATGCAGGGTGTGTGTGTATGTGTGGACATTATACACACCAAGAGGGAGAGATCACACGGGTACCATAACTATACGCCCTCACGTTCCATAAATCCCTTCGTCAGGAGTAAAGTTATCTGACTAACCTAACCTAACCTAACCTAACCCCCCGCCCCTTAGGCAGCATTAGTAAGGTGGGCGACATAAGCTCAGGGTGTCTAATCTTCAGTTGATTCTACATATCTTTAAAGGAGTTTTATTTAATTCTTCACTTTTTCTTTAGTTTATTATAAGATATTGAACTGTAGTAGAGTGTAAACAGTCTCTTATGGCTGTTACACACACACACACACACACACACACACACATGTTGAAGAGGAGTTTCTTTTCGTGATTAAGACTTATTTGCTATGCTGTTACTTTTGGGTCACGGAGCCTTGTTGACACAGCTGGTGTGTGTGTGTGTGTGTGTGTGTGTGTGTGTGTGTGTGTGTGTGTGTGTGTGTGTGTTTCTCCATAGGTGGTCGAGCGATAGTGTCTATACCTCTCACCACTATAATTTGGGTTCGATCCCTATATATCGGACAGCTGTCAGATGATGCCTCAGTGGATTCCTGAGACTAATTTGGTATATTAATGTTAATATCTATCTATCTATCTATCCTTCTCTCTCTCTCATTTACATATCTAGGGTTACCATATCTACCAACACTAAAGTCAACAGTGTACAACGCCTAGCAGTGAGTATATGACCTATGTATATAAATAATATACTGTGAACTACATCGTCTACAGTGAGTATCTATTAACAAGGAAGAGTGTTATGGCCTCAAAAATTAATGTTTATTATTATCCACTGTTGCCATAGTCGCAGCGAAACCTTTTTGAATATGTTGGAAAAAATAAATAAATAAATAAATATAACATAGGAAAAGACAGTTGTATGGTAAGGATGTTTGGTAACTCTACCTTATCTCTTGCCCAATGTTATTCTTTTCTCTTCTTCGAATCTCTCTTTTTTTTCTATCTCTATCTTTCGTTGTAGCTTTTTGCATCTCTTTCTTTGTCTGTCTCTCGCCATCTTTATCAAAATCATGAATAAAATTAAACGAGAATAATACTAAATGGTATTCTCCCAGTCGACCCAGCTGAAGAATGGGCCATTTAACTTAACAGCTGGGTATGAGTAATGTACTGTCTCCCTGTGTACCAAAGCCATAGTTTTCAGTGTACTGTATCCACACTGCCCCGAAAACACCGTCAACACTATCGGAGCTTTTTGTGCTCAGCAGCTCAGGAGTATGAGCCAGAAACCAAAACACTGACAGGTGTGTACCGAGAGCAACAGGTGAGTATCGTGAAAAACAGGTGGGTGACGCAGATTACAGCACAAGCAAGTGTTTTCACTGCAGCAGCAGCACCAGCAGCAGCACGAGTCCAGGTCACACAGGGTTGTGTCTCCTGCCATCATATAGTCATTACATTGTCAGCATAATGATACAGCACTACTGGTGACTGACAGGTTGGGCTGTCCAGTTCATCACGGTCAAGTACGGATGTGTATGTGTGTGTGAGTGCACACACACATACACATGATGATTGCCTCTCGTGTACGAGGATGGGCGGCCCAAGGGCCACCTAAGCGTGAATTTGTTTAAGGTGTAAAAGCTGTCACCAACACAACAACCACACCATGAGTTAACGAGCTGCATGATCCAGTTTCAAGGAATAATCTGAGAAGACCGGACAACTCGTCAACTGCACTGGCTAACCGTTACCCCGGAACACGATTCGCAAATCAATTAACATCCAGGTCATCAATTACTGCTGGATAGACAGAGGCAAATGGCGTAAAGAAACTTGCCCATAGTTTCATCTTGCCTGGGGATCGAACCCGGGACCACTCCCTTGCGAGGCGAGCATGTTGTCCATTACACCACAGGTCGCCACAACACACACACACATCTTGTACACCTAAAACTTTTATCTTAATTAACTAACAACTATGTAAATACTTGAGAAGATAAGGAGAGAAGAAAACAAATCTCTCTCTCTCTCTCTCTTTTGTAAATCTGCCTTGTCACTTTGTGCCTGTCTGTCTGTTTCTCGCTGTTTGAAAAATAGTGAAGGGGAGAGAGAGAGAGAGAGAAAAGAGAGAGAGAGAGAGAGAGAGAGAGAGAGACGCTAAAATTGACCTCAGTATTTTCCCCCTAAGAGCACGTTCTTACCCAAAACAACAACATACGAGCTCTCCCCATCCCTTCCTCCCCTCCCCTCTCCCCTTCCCTTTCCCCTTGCACTTTCCCTTCTTGCTTCCTTCCCCCTTTTCCCTCCCCTTCCCCGCTGCACTTTTATTCGCCCCTTTTCCTCCTGTTTCTACCATTCCTACCCCCTTCCTCCTCTCCCTCTCTCCTACCCACTCTCGTCTATCCCACCCTCACCCCACCCCACCAACTGCAGCCGTCATAACACCCGCCTCCCTCAACCCCACCCAACCCACCCCACCGTCGCCGTCAAACACCTGGCCCACCCACCCACTCAGCTTGGCCCTGCCCCTATAACCACCACCACCACCACCACCACCACCACCACTACTACTACTACCTGTGCCTGTGTGTCTGTGTATGTGAGTCTGTGTATGTGCATGTGTATATGTGTGTGTGTGTGTGCATGTGTGTGTGTGTGTGTATGTGTGTATGCGTGTGTATGTGTGTGTGTGTGTGTGCGTGTGTGTGTGTGTGAGTGCGAGAGTGAGTAGCAGAGAGCATGCGGCAGTGTACGGGCGGCCGGCCAGTGGTGAGGACAGGTGTGACGGTCACGGCGGCGGTGGAGGTGGTGGCGATGCGAGAGTTGCTGTCCCATGACGGTAAGAGACGCACACGTGTTCCCCTGTCGCACACTTACTTCCCCTCCCTTCTGTCTTATTTTCTCTCTTTCTCTAAGTGTATTTCTCTCTCTTTCTCTCTCTTCCATCTCCCCCCCCCTCTCTCTCTCTCTCTCTCATTCTTTCTCTATCTCTGCCTCTCTTTCTCATAAGGTAATTTTCACCTGTTCTGTGTGTCTGTCATTCTGTTTATCTCTCTCTCTCTCTCTCTCTCTCTCTCTCTCTCTCTCTCTCTCTTTATCTTCTTCTCTTGTTGCCTTTGTGTGGTTATCAATTTTACACTGATTATATAATTATATCTTTATCTCTCTCTCTCTCTTCCTACCTATCTATTCCCGTCTCTCATTCTTGTTATCTCTCTCTCTCTCTGTTATATTATTTACTTATTTGTTTATCTTTTATTTTCTTTATTATTCATTTATTATTTGTATCTATGCCTTTATTCATTAATTTATTCATTCCTTTTTATTTTTGTCTATATCATTTTTTTTTTTAGTTTTTCGTTTAATTTTACTCATATTATTATTATTATTATTATTATTATTATTATTATTATTACATTCCATTACTTTATCTTCGGTAATTTATTATATTTTGTCTATGTCTTATTTATCATTTATTTTGGCTCCATAATTCAATCATTTAATTACCTTATATATCGTTATTATTTATCTTCCTTGTATTATATTCTTCATTACTATTTCCTGTTTATTTTTATTTAATTCTTTATCTTCTTCTGTCTCTCATTCATGATTTATTCTACATTTCTTTTATTATTTTTTTTAACCCTTTAGGAGGCAGGAATTTCTCTCGGGTTAATAAATATTAGCCAGAATCTAACACCTAGAGGCACAGCTCAGTAGCCAATTAGGTGGTCAGTTAGTTCTCTAGGACGATTCTTATTGGTCTTTCTCCATCACTCAAATAAAAACCATTAACCTAAACTACTCATGAAGCTAAATAGTCATGCCTTGTGTATTAACCTATTACCCCAGCTAACCTAACCAAACCTAACACTATTTGGAGGAGGTTTGGTTTGGTTAGGGTGGTTAACCTTGAGGTGAATTAAGGTAGGGTGGAGATTCTTCAGGTAATCAATTTTTGTTTCTGTTTTTATTTAGTAATTAATGTAGATATTTTGTAGAATGGAGGTGGGAAGGGAAGGTGGGAGAGGGGGGGGGAAGGGGGAAGGTGGAGGAGGGAAGGGAGAGAAGGTGTTACGTTATGATTGATGGACAGGTAAAAATTAGCGTAAGTGGAGAAGAATGTTGCTTTATATTATATTCAGGAGAGAAAAAATGAAGGTTAGGTTAGGTTAGCGTTAAGTTAGTTTAGGCTTGGTTAGGTTACGTTACGTTTACGTTAGCGTTAAGTTAGGTTACGTTAGGTTAGGTTTACGTTAGCGTTACCGTTAGCATTAAGTTAGGTTCGGTTTACGTTAGCATTATGTTAGGTTAGGTTACATTCGCCTTAAGTTAGGCTAGGGTAGGTTATGTTCGCCTTAAGTTAGGCTAGGGTAGGTTATGTTCGCCTTAAGTTAGGGTAGGGTAGGTCATGTTCGCCTTAAGTTAGGCTAGGGTAGGTTATGTTCGCCTTAAGTTAGGGTAGGTTAACCTTAGAGTGGCTAGTCTTCAGGTGAAACAAGTCAGGTAATCCGACTAATGAACTCTAATTCTTACATCTATTCTGTCTAAATTATCACCAGCGACCTTCATCTTCACTATCACCATCACCCCACCGTCACATATATAGCAAAGTCCTTTGGGTGTAAATATCCCTTTAATTTTCCATCCATGCACAATCACTCAAAAAACTATCTATACAAAATTGTGTTGAAAAAATATGACACAACTGATGAAGGATTTTGACAACCCTACCGAGACAACAGGAGTCACAGTGTTCATTCTGGGAGTCATCGTTCACCCCAAGTACAGATAGTTTTTTGAGTGTACATAATACATCGATTGTTTTTTATTGTATTATTATCGTTACTCACTTTATGATTCGTATCTATGTCTTTCCGATACTATACTTTATAAATGAGTATCTACAGTATGTCTTTCCGATACCATACTTTATAAATGTGTATCTATGTCTTCCCGATAACATGCAGCATAAATGTGTATCTATGTCTTACCGATATAATGTCATAAATGCGTATCTATGTCTTCCCGAAATCATGACATAAATGCGTATCTATGTCTTCCCGATACCATACGCCATAATTGCATTTCTGTCTTCCCGATACCATTCGTCATAAATGCGTATCTATTATCTTACCGATATCATAAACTATATTCACATATCTATCTTACCGATACATTTACGCCATTAGTGCGTATTAATCAGTCCTAAAATGCCATACGATTTTTTTGCGTACCTGGACGGCTAAACTCATAATCCACTTTAATGCGGGTATGCTTTGTGGTGATTGTTCCTTTGATAGTTTTAAATAAGATAATAAGATAGTGCAGGTTGGTTTAGGTTTTAGTTAAGATAATTAAGGTTTAAATTAGGGTAACAAGGTGGGTTAGGTTAGGTTAGGTTAGATTAACATAATTAAAGTTAAGTTCATTTAGCTAAGATATAACCAGTTAGCTTTAGGTTAAGTAGGGTAGAGTAGGTTAGGTTTAATCCAGGTATGATAAAAAGAGGATTAGTTTTAGATAAGATAAAGTTAAATAGGGTGGAATAGGTTAAATATGTTAGATTAAGTTAAATAAAATAAATAAATTAGATGGAATTAGTTAAATATGTTAGATTAAGTTAAATTAGACAAAAGTTAAATTAGATGGAAGAAGTTAAATAGGACAGAATAAACTTCGTGGAGTTTAAGTAGATTAATTTGTTAACCTCTACAAAAGTAATGTAAAATTCTACAAAACTCAGCTTCTTGGCAACTGTTGTGAAATTTAATTAAGAGAATAGCGGTTCACGGTAACTCCTCTCAAAATATGCTGACGTAATTTGATGTCAATTTATTTTCTAATTTTTCTTTTAGTGAATATTAATCTGTTGATGTTTATTATTCCTTTCCTGTAAATATAAATTAATTCGAATATAGAAAACAAATATTTGTATGATATATGAAGTTCAGAATTATTTTAATGAATTAACCAGAAGGGTCAGGGAAGATAAAAGAAAAACAGAGACATTATGAAGTAAAAGTAGCAAGAGAGGCGGAGACAAACCCCAAGTGTTCCAAACTAAACCACGAGACAAGATTGGACCACTACAGCCACATACCGGCGAGCTGACTGATAACGGCGGAGAAATACGCTGTAATCTGAACGGGTATTTTTCATCAGTTTCAAAACCGAAAGTGTAAACATGATACCTGAGGTACTGTACCAACTGTGTACAGAGATACTGGAAATAAGATTAAGCGAGTTAGTAGTGACGAGTAAGGATATTAGCAAACAATAAACTAAAACCTATTAGTCACCAGGTCCAGATATTTGCCAGAGTAGTAAGGGAATGTAAGGAAGAGCTTAGGATCTTAGCAAACTTGTTTAACATGTTATTAAAGAGCGGTCAAGTAAAAGAATCCTGGAAGATAGCGACTGTGATACCGCTTTTCAAGAAGGGAGATAGATCACTATTCTCTAACTACCGTCCAATCAGTTAACCATCAATTGTAGGCAAATTGCTGGAAGCAATAATTTCATACTCAATTCGAAATCACCTGGAGAAGCACAAATAAGAATATAAGAATGGAGGAAACTGCAACAGGCCTCTTGGCCCAATGGCATTCATGTCTGACAAATCTATTATCATTCTTTTCAACTGTTTTCGAATCAGTGGACGACGGACACGATTATGGTGTGGTTTAACTCGACTTTACCAAAGCCTTCGACAGGGTCCCCCGTGAAAGACTAATACGTAAAGTGGAGGTACATGGGATTGAGGGCAAGGTTATAAATTGGATTAGGATATGATTAACAGACAGGAAACAGACTCAGCATTAATGGCACAAAAGCTGTCTGGGGTAACATCACTAGTGGAGTACCCCAAGACTTAGTACCTGAACCGTTATTATTTATTATATACATAAACGACATAGATATAGGAGTAGACAACGACATAAGTAAATTTGCTGACGACACTAAAATAGGGCATGTAAATAAATCTGACGAGGACTCCGAAAATTTACAGGAAGAATTAAACAAACGTTTCTCATGGTCTGAAAAATGGCAGATAATATAACGTGGAAAAATGTCAAGTACATAGTCTAGGAGACGTAAACAGGTAAACCAGATATCAGATGAAAAACGTTGTTATAGAGAAATCCGACTGTGAAAATTAGGGGTAATGATAAGTAGGAATCTTAGCCTGAGAAAATAATGTATATTTGCTTAAAACAAGGTTAACTAGGTACTGGTTCATACAAAGGAGTGTTAGTTAAAGACTAGCGAAGTTATCCTAAAACTATATCTCGTGTATGTGAGACCCTCACTTGGATTACGCGGTTCAGTTCTGGTCACCATACTATAAAATTAATATCGATTTCCCCCACAAAACATACAGAGGAGGATGACAAGAGTATCCTGGGCAATAGGAACCTTAAGTAGAGGGGCAGATAAAAGCGTCTGAATTTGCACTCCCTCGAGAGACGTGGAGTGAGGGGTGATATGATCGAGGTGTATAAATGGAAGTCAGGGTTAAACAAAGGTGATGTAACAAAGGTACCCTGTACTTAAATTATCCAACCAGGAACGAACTTGCAGCAATGGTTTAAAATTAGACAACTTTAGATTTTGGCGAGAGATAGGTAACCATTGGTTTGGAAATAGTGCAGTGAATGAGCTTCAAATATAGGTTGGGTGGATATATGAGCGAAAGGGGTTGGGTGTAAACAGGACTGCCCAGAAGATTACACGTCACTAAGACGAATTCCAGATTGACGGTTTCTTCCGTTTGGACGATTATAGCTAAAAATTGTCCATCCATCACAAATGCTATGAGAAATAATGTGTTAATAT